CCAGCCCCTCACCTGCCCCACTCTGTAGAGGTACACCCGCCCCGTCTCCCTGCTCTGGGCACCCAGGTACATGGGAGCTGCCACCAGCAGCACGTCGGTGACCCCGTCCCCCTCCACGTCCAGGGGACACACCTCGCTGCCGAAGTAGGAGCCGATCTGTGGGTCGCAGTGGGGGCTACGTGAGGCTGGGGGGGGGGCTGCCAGCACCCCCTTCCTTCCCATGGCTGCCTGCCCCCCTCCCTTCCCCCATCTCCCCCACTTCGTTGGCACCTGCTCCCCCGTCAGCGCCTGGGCCACCCTCACGGTCCCCGTGGTGTCCATCTGGAAGAGGATGACCTTGCCCTTGTGCTGGAAACGGGGGGCCCCGGCCACGTAGAGACGCTGCCCGTCGGGGAGACGCAGAGAGGAGACGGCGTAACCTGGGGAGGGAGAGCCCGGGTTGGGGGTGTCATCCTCTGCCCACCCTGTGTCCTTGGGGTACCCCACATCCCCAGGGCGTGGAGCATCCTCGGGGCACCCACATCCCTGGAGTAATGAGCATCCCTGGGGCACCCACATCCCTGGGGCATGGAGCATCCTCAAGGCACCCAGAATCCCTGAGATGGTCATTCCTGGAGCATGGAGCATCCCCAGGGCACACAGAATCCCTGAGGAATGGAGCATCTCTGGAGCATGGAGCATCCCCAGGGCATCCTGCATCCCTGGAGTGATGAGCATCCCTGGGGCACCCACATCCCTGGAGCATGGAGCACCCTCAGGGCACCCAGAATCCCTGGGATGGTCATTCCTGGAGCATGGAGCATCCCCAGAGCATCCCACATCCCTGGGGCACCCAGCATCCCTGGGGAATGGAGCATCTCTGGAGCATGGAGCACCCTTAGGGCACCCAAAATCCCTGGGGCACCCACATCCCTGGGGCATGGAGCACCCTCAGGGCACTCAGAATCCCTGGGATGGTCATTCCTGGAGCATGGAGCATCCCCAGGGCATCCTGCATCCCTGGAGCAATGAGCATCCCTGGGCCGTCCTGCATCCTTGGGGCATGGAGCACCTTCAGGGCACCCGGTATCCCTGGGATGGTCATTCCTGGCACATGGAGCATCCCCAGACATCCTACATCCCTGGGGCACCCACATCCCTGAAACATGGAGTATCCCTGGGCATCCTGCATCCCTGGGGCACCCAGCATCCCTGGGGAACAGCGCATCTCTGGAGCATGAAGCATCCTCAGGGCACCCAGAATCCCTGGGACACCCACATCCCTGGGTCATGGAGCATCCCGGGGCACCCAGAATCCCCCCCAAATCTCTGGGACACAGAGCACCCTTGGTTCAATCCCGATTTTCCAGGACATGGACCATCCTGGATTGACTCCTAATCTCCAGGACACGGAACATCCCCAATTCACTCCAAAACTCCGGGACATGGAGCATCCCTGTTTCACCCCGAATCTCCGGGACACGGAGCATCCCCAGTTCACCCCAAATCTCCGGGATTTGGAGCATCCCTGGTCCCCCCCAAATCTCCAGGACTTGGAGCTCCCCTGGTTCAATCCTGAATCTCCGGGACATGGAGCACCCCTGGTCCTCCCCCAGATCTCCAGGATTTGGAGAATCCCTGGTTCACCCCAAATCCCCAGGACACAGAGAATCCCTACTCCAATCCTGATTTTCCAGGACATGGACCATCCCGGATTGACTCCTAATCTCCAGGACATCCCCAATTCATTCCAAGTTCATTCCCAGTTCACCCAAAATCTCCGGGATTTGGAGCATCCCTGGTTCACCCCAAATCCCCAGGAGACAGAGCACCCCTGGTTCAATCCCAAATCTCCAGGACACAGACCATCCCCAGTTCACTCCAAACCTCTGGTACATGGAGCATCCCTGCTTCACCCCAAACCTCTGGGATTTGGAGCACCCCTGGTCCCCCCCCAAATCCCTGGGATTTGGAGCATCCCTGGTTCACCCCAAATCCCCAGGACACAGAGCATCCCTAGTTCAATCCCGATTTTCCCCAACTTGGTGACGGGGACACTCAACCCCGGGATGGGGCTGAGGATTATTTTCCACTTCTGCAAAGCCCCTGGGATGGGTGGGGGCTGCTGTCCCCGTGTCCCCCCTGCCCCCCACCATCTCCATCCCTCCCCCACCCTGGGGGCCACATCCTGCCCGGTCCCTGCAGCCTCACCTCCAGGAGGTGGACGGAGAAGCCAATTTGGGACATCTCCAGCTCGAAGGAGCTCTCGTTGTATCCATGAGTGCCTGGGGAGGGGGAAGGAGATGGGATTCCTCCAGATGTGGGTCCAGATGTGGGTCTAGATGTTCTTTGGGCGAGCCTCCCCTACTCCCACCCTGGGGGTCCAGCCCCACGTCACCTTCCAGGCTGAAGATACGGTCACCCAAGGCGTCCACGATGTCGTTGAGGGCGGCCTCGTCGGTGACGTTGAAGAAGAACTTCTCGTCGGGGTCGCTGGCGATGTACTTGATCTCCCGGATGAAATCCTCGGGGTCCTGCTGCCGGCGGAGGTAGTGACCCAGCACCTTGGGGGGGGGAGAGAGAGAGGATCCCGTGTCACCTTGAATTGGGGGCAAATTTCACTGAATTTCACTGAATTTTAGAGTTGGAAGGGACCCTAGAGATCATCTAGTTCAACTCCCCTGCTGAAGCAGGATTGCCTCGAGCTAGACCCAGGCGGGTCTTGAAAATCTCCAAGGAATCAGCCTGGACAGGGGGGTTTCCCAACACAGGATGGCAGAAAAGGGGGAATGGGGAAACTGAGGCAGGGTGAGACCCCCCAAAACCCCCCCTGTCGGGGCGCTCACCGCGATGGCGTAGCGGGTGACGTTGCGCTCCTCGCACTCGGCCAGAGCCTCGGGCAGCTCCTCGCCGTCGTGGGACTCCCCGTCCGTCACCACGATCATCAGCCTCGTGGCGTCCGCCCGCCCGCCCCGCTCGGGGCTGAAGGCTTCCGCGCTGCCGGGGGGGAGGGCAGGGGTGAGGATGAGGGGGGGTCCCCATCCCAATCCCGACCATGACCCCAATCCCGACCCTGCTCCCAGTTCGGACCCCCCGTTCCAATCCTGATCACAGTTTCCGTCCCCCATCCCAATCTGCTCCCAAATCTGACCCCGATCTCAATCGGCGTCCGCCCGCCCGCCCCGCTCGGGGCTGAAGGCTTCCGTGCTGCCGGGGGGGAGGGGAGGGGTGAGGATGAGGGGGGGTCCCCATCCCAATCCCAACCATGATCTCCATCCTGACCCTGCTCCCAGTTCGGACCCCCCGTTCCAATCCTGATCACAGTTTCCGTCCCCCATCCCAATCTGCTCCCAAATCTGACCCCGATCTCAATCCCCATCCTGACCCCCATCCCAATCCCCATCCCAGTTCCAACCCCGATCTCGACCCCAATCCCAATCCCTGCTCCCAATCTCCATCCCAATTCCAACCCCCATCCCTGATCCTCATCCCAATTCCAACCCCAATCTCGACCCCGATCCCAATCCCCTCTCCCAATCCCCATCCGAATTCCCACCCCAATCCCTATCCTGATCTGAATCCCCACTCCAACTCCCACCCCGCTCCCTTTCCCCATCCCAATCCCCATCCCAATCCTGACCTGCTCCCAATCCAACCCCAATTCCCATCCCAATATCCATCCCAATCCTGACCCTGCTCCCAATCCAACCCCAATTCCCATCCCGCTCCCTTTCCCCATCCCAATTCCCATCCCAATTCCCACCCTGCTCCCAATCCCCATCCCAGTCCTGACCTGCTCCCAATCCCCATCCCAATCCGCATCCCAGTTCCCACCCTGCTCCCAATCCAACCCCAATCCCCATCCCAATCCCCATCCCAATCCCCACCCCACTCCCGGGGGATCGCACCATGCCCGGTGGATGGCGAGGGCGGTGCGTGTG